TGGGATCAGGAATGGCATCGGGATTTGGGACTGGGATTTGGGATTGGGAATTTGGGGATTTGGGATTGGGATCAGGAATGGCATTGGGATTTGGGATTGGGAATTTGGGGATTTGGGATCAGGAATGGCATTGGGATTTGGGATTGGGAATTTGGGATCAGGAATGGCATCGGGATTTGGGACTGGGGTTTGGGAATTTGGGGATTTGGGATTGGGATCAGGAATGGCATCAGGATTTGGAATGGCATCAGGATTGAGGATTTGGGATCAGGATTTGGGATCAGGATCGGGATTGGGATCCGGACCCCACCGAGGGCAGGGTGGGCTCCTGGAGGAATTTGGGGATCTTTTTAGGGGAATGGGGATTAGGAATTCCAGGGTTTTATCCCAGAACTGTGATCCTGGAGATGCTGGAGGGGATTGAGGAGATCCAGAGGGAATTCCTGGGTTTTGCTCCTGTTTTTTGGAAATGTTGGACAGGTTTGGGATGATCCAGAGCGAATTCCGGGGGTTTTATTCCCAGTTTTTGTGACTGGGACTGTGATCCTGGAGATGCTGGAGGGGATTGAGGAGATCCAGAGGGAATTCCTGGGTTTTGCTCCTGTTTTTTGGAAATGTTGGACAGGTTTGGGATGATCCAGAGCGAATTCCGGGGGTTTTATTCCCAGTTTTTGTGACTGGGAAATGCTTGGAGGGGACTGGGATGATCCAGGGGTATCCCAGAGCTCCTGGAATCCAAGGGAATTTTGACCCCCACCCTGAGACATTTTTTGGGATCTCTTCCCAAAATTTGTGCCCTTTTGGGAGGGAAAATTGGGAAGGAAAATCGGGAAAATCCCCCCCAAAAAAGCCCCAAATTCGGGCCATTCCCAAACCCCACCCCACCCAGAATTCCCGGGAAAACCCCCCAGGATCATCCCCCAATAAACCAAGTTCCACCCCCGGCTCTGTATTTTGGGATTTTTTTGGGATTTCCCGCCTGTTTTGGGGTTTTTTGGGATTTTCACCCCCCCCCAACCCAACCCTCCCCAAATCCATGAATTCCCAAAATCCCGGAATTGCGGGATGAGCCCCCAAAAAGAGGGCGGGTGACGAATGCAGAATTCCTTTAATTAGAAAACAGCCGTTAACAAAAATTCCACCACGGGGAAAAACGAGGGGAAAAAAAACCAAAAACCGGGAAAAGACGGAAAAAAAAACAAACCCCAAAACCAAACCCAGGAAACACCAGCGAAAATTCCCGGCCGGAATATCGGGAATATCCCCCCGGAATTCCAATCCCCCCCCGCAGCTCCCTGAAAGATTTTATTGCACTTAAGAAAGAAAAGCGACCCCCGGGAATTCCCCGGGAATTCCGGGAATTTTTTGGGGAATTCCGGGCTGGGAAATCCCCGCTGGAATCGCTGGATTTCCCCTCCCCCACACCTCTGGAAATTTGGGATGGCCGAGGAATTCCAGCCCCTCCCTCTCCCACCTTTTCCACCTTCCCTGTTTTCCCGGGAATTCTGCGGCTGGTGATAAATAGAGACGGGAAAAATGGGGAAAAAACCGGAAAAAAACAGAATAAAGGGGAAGAAAAGAGGGAAAAAAACCGGGAGAAAATTCCCAAAGCAACCAAAACCACCGGAAAGGAAGGGAAATTAAAAATAAATAAAGCGCGGGGGCTGCGGGAGCAGCCGATCCCGGGATTTTTGGGGGACGGAATTCCCAAATTCCCGCCGCTCCGGCCACTCCCACTCCCTGTAGTGTCGCCGGATCCCGCCGGGAATGGCCCCGGGAATTCCCGGAGATCTGCACGGCCGAGCCCCGGCTCCTTCCCTGCCCCTCGCAGGCGGGAAAAGTCAGGAAAAATCGGGAAAAAAAGTCGGGAAAAAAATCCGATTTTTTTTTTTGTTTGTTGTTGTTTTTTGTGTGTGTTTCGTGTTTTTCTTTTCCCAAGAAAAAGTCCCGAAATTCCCGAGGTTTGGTTGGAATCTTGTGCGGAGTGGGAAGAGGGGAAAGCTCCGGAGTTTCCCCCTCCAGGACCTGTGGGAAGACGGGAGGGCAGGGCTGGCATTCCCTGGAATTCCCTGGAAATTCCCAGAAATAATTCCGGGCGGGAATTCCGGGCGTTGCGGGGCGGAATTCCAGGATTTCTCCCGGCTCACCTGCGGTCACAGCGGCTCCGGAGCCGTGTCCTGGCTGGCCTCGAGGAGCAGCTCCTGCAGCTCCTGCTCGTTCCGGGAGCAGCTCAGCTCTGCGGGACGAGCGCGGAACGTTCCGGAGCCGCTCCCGCAATTCCCGGGATTTGGGGTTTTCCTGCTCCCTTCCCACTTTTTCCTCTTCCCAACCCAGGGATTTGGGATTTTCCTGCTCCTTTCCCACTTTTTCCTCTTCCCAACCCAAGCATTTGGGATTTTCCCACTATATTCCCAGTTTTTTACCCCAGTTCCTGTGGCATTCCCAGTTTTTCTTGTTCCCAACCCAGGAATTTGGGATTTTCCCGCTCCTTTCCCACTTTTTCCTGTTCCCAGCCCAGGGATTTGGGATTTTCCTGCTCCTTTCCCAGTTTTTCCTATTCCCAACCCAAGGATTTGGGATTTCCTGCTCCCTTCCCACTTTTATCAACCCAAGGATTTGGGATTTCCTGCTCCCTTCCCAGTTTTTCTGGATCTCAGCCCAAGGATTTGGGATTTTCCTGCTCCTTTCCCACTTTTTCCTGCTGCTTTTCCCAGTTTTCCACCCCAATTCCTGCTCCTTTCCCACTTTTTCCTCTTCCCAACC